TGTTAAAACAATACCTTTTCACGGACTCTGCCACCTTGCCGTTCCATTGCCATTTTACCTGGGAATTGAGTGTAACTGAATACCAATGTCAGAGTGTGTGTTTGAAATTTTATTTTATCTGGTTGTTTTCTTCTTATAAACAATTAATTGTATGTAGATATATATATATATATACATATTAACACATATATATATTATCATCTCCCATTCAGGAACCGGACCTTTTTTGACACCGCTCCCACCTTCTCCATCCAAACTTCCACTACTTTGGCTGCAGCACCGGACGCGGCGACTTCTCAAACGCCACGCGGTCTCCTTTCGCGTCGCGCGGATCCAACGAGGCGACCTCTTCCGGGCCCTGATGGAGCGACGCCCTGCGCGGCTGCTGGAACGAGAAGTGGCCTTCGTGCAGCTCGGGTGCACATTCTGAGGTCAAAATGACGGTCTTGGAGTGAAGTTGTTGCAGGTTTGGGGCTAGTCGCGGCTAGTCATAGTCAATCGTTCAGCTTTGAAGGTCCATCGGTGTTATCCGGTGTTTGTTACTTCCAATTTGATGAGGCACCCGCACCCCACAGAGATTTGTGTGTGATTTTTTTTACATTTTTTCGCAAATGGGTGGGGTCCGGAAGGGTGATTTCAAAACACCTTACCCGGTCGAAACGTGCAGTTTTCGTTGATAAAGAACTCAAGAACCTGGTTGACCCTCTTGATCTTGAGGCGTTTTACTTTTGTTCAGGCAAACACCATGTTCACAGGTTCAGGTGGATTGTTCGCTGCAAGGGGGCTGCTTGCTTGTTCGCTGCAATCGATGGTGGATGAGGGCCACGCGGCCACCGAAACCATCAGGCAAACCCCTATTGAGCCAAGCGAATAATTACTTGCAATCCGGGCTTTGATGGGCTTTATACGTTTTTTTGAATTCAATCCACCCCACAGTGCCCCTCAGCATCATTTTCGGTCTTGGCAGAAGAAGTCACTTGTCACTTCCCCAGAGCCCGGCAGCACGCCGCTGGCTGTCGATGTGGCCCGTTGGCTCGGTCGACCTCCGAGGTTCTGGCAGCTGGTGGATGGCCTGGGCTTTTTGCGCCTTGGGGAAGCAAGCGACTCACATGGATGGTAGATGATGGTAGCGTCATTTCCAAGGGGTCCTCATGACGAGAAATGACCGTCCTCATGACGAGAAATTGCAGGTACAATCGATGCTTCGATGTGCAGGATGCAGGTTTTCATCGACGAAACAACGATGAGGTTGCGTGTCGAACATGTGAAGCGACTTCATAAAACTTCACGTTTTGACACTTGACACTGAGGCATCGCCAGAACATCATTCACCGAGATTTGAAGTTGGAAAACGTCCTCATCTCCGACCGACATCGTGAGGCGAATCCCCCTGTCGGGAGAAACATGGACCCTGCGTTCTGGGTACTTGGCGGAAATCAATGAAGCGCGCGAGCGACGTGCAGCTTCACCTGGAAGATCGGTACCAAGACTGCATGCACTGAGTGATGTGCAACATGCGATGTTCATGTTGGAGGCAGCTCAAACGCAAGGACCCTCCCAATTGATTGACATGATTTGACATGTGACGAAATGCTTTTCGGAAGCTCGTGCTTCAACTCAAGCCGAGCAGGGGAAGCTCACTTTGTTCAATGTGAAGATCAGTGACTTTGGCCTGCTGGGAGCTGAGTTTTCGACCGTCTCGGTCGCGTTTGGAAGCTCTGAGACTCTCTTGACGTAGTATGTCACCCGGGTGCCTGGACCTGCATCCTGAGTCATGTCACCCCAGGACGTAGTATGATGTAGTTTCCCAACAAGATTGGCTTAGTATATAGGGTCAGAAATTAATGGATCTCCAATGGAATTTCCTCTAAAATGGTCTGCCCAACCCCTCCTTGAAATCCTAATAGGGATATAAAAATGGATGAATTGGTAACTTCCAATACCAGACCTTTCGTCATGTCGCCCAAATCCTGGGTGTGACCCATCTCTATCCCGGTGGAGGTCCAAGGCGGTGGCCGACTGCGCGGTGGAGACCTTGAACTCGGTGGTGGGGACGCAACGCTACGTGGCACCGGAGGTGCTTCGGAGGCCTGTGAGCTACGACTACCGGGTGGCGCCCCGGGTCGTGAGAGCGTGAAAGGGGGTGCAGGGGGAGAAGAGGTGGAGGTAGGGATATGTAGGGTGGGTGGGGTTTGGTGGGAATGTGTGGGGCTGTCTGTGAAGGTGGAAATAGGTTCGACTCATCTTAGCATCGCTGTCAATCAAGTTTGTGGGGAGCCAAAAGGAAGAATTGGTGTTGAATTCACTTGGAGGTTGCCGAGGTTTCAACCAAGTGATGCAAATGTTGGCACCGACCGACGATCGATCAGCGACGATCGGACGATTATTGTGAGTTGTCAGAAGTTCGGGGGTCATGAAAATGTACGACCCTGGGTCATTGAACAGCGAAAGTGTCCATTATTCATTTATTCACATCGAGCAGGTTTAGGGGGAGCGCGGGATCTGCATCTATCAAGGTCTTTCAAGCAACTGAGAAAAGATAAAAGAGAGATGAAGGTTCTGCCATATTTAGCCCACTAAAAAGATTCGTGAAGTGTGCAAACCATTAACTTGATCGTTTTGATGCCGGCGCGTTTGCTTTTTTGACAGTAAAGGGATGAGATGCTAGAAGCTTGAGCATCATAAAAATCCCTAGAAGGTTTGCAACGTAGAACAGTGGTGGTTGGATCTTAATTATCTTACTTGTTTCTGCATCTGAGGATTTCTGGAGCTTGGGAATCCTGACCTATTTGCTCCTTGCTGGACGCTTGAAGCTTTTAAACATATTGTCCTGAGCTTTGCATGAGCAAGATTTATATGTTCAATATGACCTTTCAAACATGGTCATCTCAAAAAACCATTCCTTGTTCTTGGTTCTGAGTGCCGATGGTATCATATATGTTGGTTGTTGTGGAGAGCAGATAGGTGTGTCTGGAAAGAACGGGGAAACTACAGGTTCACTGGGTTTTCCGCTTCGATGTCTCTAAACAGTGTCCTCACAGTTGCACATAAATCAAACACCTGCGTGTTCAATTCCCTGAAGCACCTCAAACATGTTTTTGTTTGTGCAATTATTCAGTGTTCAGCTGATATTGTCCTGCCAACTCTTTTGAATCTGCGTGTGGATTCTCCAGATCACTTGACGATTCGGGAGAAGGGTTGGTAGATTGTGGATGATGATGGTCGATTTGGATTCTTTGCATCGTATTGTAAAATTGATTAAACTTGCAACACTGCACATGTGCGTAATTTGTTGCTGACAAGCAACACGGATGCCCATTACTACCATGACCGAAAGTTTTGGTGCCCGACCTCGTCATAGTCGACCTCCCTTGCTCGGTTCCCCAAAGAATACCACCGTGTTGAGAGGGTACTAGCATGTATGTGTTTTTGGGCGGGTGCCGGATGTCTTCTGGCCAGGTGAAACGGGGCGGGATGTCTTTGGTTTGTTTCGTTTTTTTTTTTTTTTAAGTACTGAGCTTTCTCTGAAAGTCCTTTCACCTCGTCCGCGGATCCAAGGAAGTTATCCTAATCCCCAATCCCAGCAGTCCTTGGATGAGTCCATCGCAAAGATCACCAGTGAGCCCGCGAGGCAGATGCTGCAGGCTGGGAGACCGGTGTTCTGCGGGCTGTAGAGAAGGCCCCATTCTATTGATCAAGCGTCTTGTGCACCAGTGAAAACAGGTGTTTTGGGTTCTTTCATGTTCTTTCTAGTTCTGTCACTGCATCAATGTTGGATCTCAATGCGGCTCCCCCCCCCAAAGGATCCTAAAGGCTCGCTGAAAAGCATCTTCAACCAAATCAATCATATTTGGTAGTCCCCCTCCGGGCCATCTATTGCAAATGTCCAACTGAACATAGGGGAAACCTCAGTGGTGGGCTCGGTGCCTCAACACTGCCAGGCAAGCTGTTGGTTCATTGATTGGTGTCCAAAAGAGGCTATGTGGATCCATAAGGGAACTGATCTTAGTGAGCATGAACCAGTCCGGTTGGAAAATGGACATCTGAAGCAGAGGCCTCGTTACCAATTGCAGGAACGATGCATTCTCGTCGACGGCCATCGCTCGTTGATGACACGTCGTGGCTCTTCAATCAGCCACCGCTCTTCGCCACCGTCAGGGCCTGTTGCAGTTGGACCCGGCACGAAGACTCTTGGCAGGAAGTCAAGCAAAACATGTTGGTGTGGTGGTATGCGTGTTGTTTTTGGAAAGGTGCAGGACAAGTTCGCCAACTCAATTTCTACAGCCAACTCTGCAGCCAATACGACAAAACATGACCAAACGATCCCTTGGCTCTGCACGAGCGTTAGTCCGGGTGCATCAGTCCGTCATGAGACACCCTCGTGGCGCTTGTCTACTGAGGGGAGGATCAGCAGTGGATGTTACATGATCTACACCCTGGAAGACGATCCCATGGACCCTATAAAAACCACTGGTTGGTATATGGAGGAAAACACTCTTCCAGGGTGCCAGGACGTCAGGGTCTATGTTAGTTTTCGGGAGTGTAATCTACTCGATCCAGAGTTGTTTGGAGGGGCTTTCAAGGGCTGGAACGGCTGGAGGGGCTGCTGGAGAGGCTCCTCTATGTTCCACACCCGAATCGACGAACGACGGCTGACCAGAGTTGGACACCCTGCCCACTCGCTTGATGAGTATCAGAGCTCATGCTTGCGGCCCTTGGATCATGACCCGTTGCTCAATCTGTTGCCTTCACCAGACTGGTGCGACCTCTGGTAAAAGACAGAAAACAACGGGCCATGGAAGTGTTCCCTTCGAAATCAGAACTCCATTCCGACCGTTCCGACCGTTCCGTTCCATTCTTCACTCCCTTGGGTCCCTGGTCCATTCTTCATTCATTCGATTCGATTCGTGGGAGGTGGGGTCGTGACACCGACCGTGCCACGTCCCAGGATCGACCTTTCAAGCCTTGCAGTCTCAGAGCTGGGAGACGGGCGACGAGGAGACCGGTCCAGCGAGAACAGACCGGTTTACGCCCGTGAACAAGCCAGACACTCCATGGTATGTTTTAGTTTCATGATGTTGAATCATGTTTAATATGTATACATTAATTATGTACCTATTTAATCTTTATATACAGTAGTTTGATCCTTGACCGATTATGTTCACCAACATTCACTCATGGTTCATTTTCACAGCTATCAGAAGGTGCTAGCCTTGCGGCATGAGTTGTGCAATGAAAGTGGCACACGAGGACACTTGTGCGTAAGCAAAATCCTGCGTTACGCGGTTGTGTGGTGGCATCATTGATGGCTGAAGTCTGTGGCGTAAGCAAAGTGGGTAAGCATTGCTTGTCAACATATAATATATATCTGTGTCGGTGCGGTCGCCCCACCAGGGGCATCGCAGCGGCGCCTTTCTACGCTCCAGCCTAAAGGTTCCGCTAGACATGGCGTCCGACCATGTGCTCGTCACAATTCACACTCCTCAAAATCTATATATGATCCAAGTTTTCAATGGCCTTCATGGCCAAAGCGACGGGCTTCCTTCGAGCCTGGATACGTCACTCCGAACTTGGAAATTCCGGGGCTATACTGGACTGCCTTCAAATATGCACGGATGTCATCCATCTTCGAGGACTTGACTCCGCTGTTGGTGACCCATGTCAAGTAATCCCTCATTTCTTTACACGAGTCAGCTTCTGTGACCATCATATCGTATGTCATGTCACGTTTGGCTACCTTTGGTAGCTCACAAATGGTGGAGCCCCACTGCTTCAGTGACTGAAGACCTTCAAGCAGGCGGATCTCTGTTCCAGCATGAGAAGAGTAGCCGACCTGACGTGGAAGCACCGGTGCTTGACTCATCTTCTTTGGGGTCGGAGTCACACTTTGAGTCAAAGCAATCACCTCAAACTGATCCAGCTCTTCCTTCGCAGACACCACAGAACTCTTCAATCTGCGTTTTGAGCTGTCATTCATCGATCCTTGCGCTGTGTCGGTCGAAGTGGAAGCGGATGCTTCGTGCAGCAGCTGCTCCAATTCACCGCTCTCGTTCAAGGCTCGAACTAGCTGCTTGAGCTCTTCTTTAGAGAAATTTTGGTACATGGCTGACACGTCACCTAGAGTTGAGGAGACAATCGGAGAGTCTGATCACACCGAGAAAACTGTGCCCTCTTCGCACTTGATTGCTCAGATTCAATTATATGCATTGAAACACATTTCGTTATCACATCGAGTAACGCAAAAGCATCTGCAAAAGAAAGTATCTATATATATTGTGTTACGAAATGCTCACATTTCCACAATGCGTTTCCCCTCACATTCGTACCCCAGAATGTGCGCTGGGTGCTCACCAGCCCTCACCCAAAACCAGAGAAACGATCCAAGCGGCCTGGACATGTAGAGTAGGACGAAACGTGACTATCGACAAAAGCAACCAAACAAACAAAAAGGAAGTCCTGCATCACACAAAACAAATCTGGCAAACAGAAACTCAACTGGCGTCCAAATGCACTCAGTCTGCTATTCTCTAGAAAAACCCCATCCTACTGAATTAGGAACCCTTCTGTTTCGGCTTGCTTCTCCTTAGTGCTGCTTCTCGTGCTTCATGCAACGCCCGTCTTTCTACTCGTGCTTGACGTTGGTTCTTTTTTAGCTCCAGGATCATGGCTTCAGGATTCAACTGGTATTCCCCCACGGACAGTGCCGCCCGCAAGAGATCTGCCGGATCCTGCTGGTCCTTTGTTAGAGCGTCTGCGAGCATGAGTTGTGTTGGGCACCACCTAACAACGAGACCTGTTCGAGACATGCACTGTTTGAGTATTGCAAGGTCTATTGCTATCCTTTTATCTTCGCACTTACTAACTGATGACATGGATATCATATGGTCATATAAACTCTTGCAATCTGTGACACCCACGACAGGAACTAGGTCCAGCTCATCACGGCATTTCAAATTTGACACTCGTGGCTGTGTTTGCACTTGCTCTGTTGTCCGAAGATCAAATCTGCCATGCTTTGCTTCTGCTATGAGCAAGCTCATCCACTCAGCCGTAGCACTAGCTGTCGTGAAAGCCTGTGCCTCCCCTGCTAGTGTCGAGGCCACCACTCTCGGCAATTTGTATGACCGCCAAGCAAACGGAGACCAGCTTGCTGCCTCATTCTGTACTAGTCTTTTGCTCACAAAAGCTGCAATGAACCCTGCCTGTGTCTTGTGTTGCTTTGCATTACCAAAACCTGCATCTGAATGAAAACAGATAGCCAAATCTTCCCATGGAATGCTCTTCACTGTAACATCAGTGTGACTAAACTGTTTAGCCCGATGCACCAGTTGGTTTGCAAACAACAAATCCCGAACTCTAGGTTGAGGAAAGCTCTGTTGTGAAAAGGAGGTCTGAACGCACAGATCTGGTCTTGACTGCGAACTAAGCCAATTGCATGCTCCGTTGATTGCCCTCAAGGCTGAGATCTCCCGGTCAGTTGCCAGAGACTCTTTGTCCTTCAACCGTTCTTTAGAGAGAGAAATGGCCCGAAGATGTTCTGCATATTCTTTTTGATGGTACGTGATCTCAAAACTTCGCATGTCTTGGCTATATTGCACCCCACAAAATTCACCATTGCCAATCCTCCATTTTCTGTACGGGAAATGAGTCTTCAACGCTTGAATTGCTGAATCGTAGGTTGCCCCGTGTCCCCCCGTGATGGTGTCGTCTACATGGGCTCCCATCACACCACACATGGCTCCCTGACTCAACGGATCCGGAAGGTAGTATAAACAGTTGTCAAACTGAGAACGAACCCAACCAATCTTTCTTGCAGTCTCGTCGAACTTAAACCACCAGTTGAAAGGGGCATCGTTGGACCCGTAGACGTTGCCTGTGACCTCGATCACATCATCCGGACTGAGTCCTGGGATCCCTCCTGGAGGTTGATGCGCATACAAAGGACTAAATTTGGGGTTCAAAGGTCCTGCTTCCAGAAAAGCCCCCTTGATGTCCCCTAGCTGCATCGTCCATTGCTTGCTGACTAGAATTTGTAAAATCAATGATCTTGACAAAGGGTGAAGTGTGGGACTGTGGCAAGCCCCTGACTGGATCTTCTCCTGGAAGTCAGGATCCAAGTGCCCTTGTAGGCACCAGCGACTCTTGACTCGCTCCCCATCCTCATCCTTCTTGTTGATCACAACAAAACGACTGCCAATGAACCGATGTCCAAAACGCTCTTTGATCTCTTTGGCTTTCTGTCCAGTCCACACACGAACAGCTTGTTTCCCTGACAATGTCTCCCATTCTGTAATCTTGGATCCATCAACCTTCTCTTGGATGTCGGATGTGTTGCCAGTGGACGGAATCTCTTTTGCTGCTCGCTTCTGCAAGAATCCTGCTATCAATGCTTCGACATGACTCTGGCCACTTCGCACTGGAACCTCCTCTCCTGGAGAAACAAATGAACACAACAATGCCTCGTCCTCATATCGTTCAGTTCGACTGCGAGTGCGCGGTCCGTCATCAATGTTGGCACTGGCCTCTCTCTTGCTACTAGTGCCTCTGGGACTGAAGCTCTCGGTCTCTGGTGTCTCTAGCAACGAAGGAATAACCTCTTGCAGCAACTCTGACAGATCTTCCTGTTGCATCTCCATTGGACGAAAGAGATATTCCGGGGGTGATTTGACTGTGTGTCGAACCCGTCTGATGGGACCATAATCCTCTGTACGACCTAACGGTGTCCAGGAAGACGTTCCCCCCAATCGAGAATACGGCCCATGTTCTGGTGTTGTCTCCTCTGCATTGTAGTCTTCCTTTTGAGTCTTGGTCTCATTCACGACAGCTTCACTCCACAAATCGGCCGCGGATCGTGCCGCGGAATGCCAGCCTTCTGCCCGGTCAGAAATTTCTGGAGATGGCGGAAGTGTGGTATTGACCAAATCAACAAACTGTCCTTTTGGAAATTGTCCCTTTTCTAACAAGTTCTTGATTCCCAGCAATTCGTTGTCATCAAAATCTGCAACTGTTTTCTCTTCTGAGGTTGCATGCCGTAGATGTTCTGGTGAACAGCGAAACAAACTTCGTCTGTGCGCAACAATATAGTTCACCCCCAACTTACCCAAAATCATGCCAGTCCCATGCCAACGACCTCCCCTTAGCAACTGCCCGTCTGACCACTTTTGTGATCTCCAGTAGTAAACCCAGTCACCTGAGCAGAAGTCCTGGCGGAGTCTTGGGCGAGCTCGGATGGCCGCCTTCAAGGCCTTGTGGTCTTGGCATTCCAGCACCGCTTGTCGCGCCGCTTGCCGCACGAGATGTGCCCGATCGAACGGCGAGTCGCTCTCGGTGGCGTCAACTGCGGGTAAGTGTGGATCATCTTGCAACAAATCTTGAGGGATGCGGGGATTGCGTCCAAAAACAATCTGAAAAGGGCTTGCTCCTGCTTCTGTAATCAGGGTGTTTTTGGCTATTTGGGTCTGAAGAACGTTGTCAACAAACTCTTCGGCATTCTTGGGTGGATGCTCTTCACATACCCGAGAAAATATCTTTTCGAACCAACCTCCATGTCTCTCGACTTTCCCCAGCTGCCAATGTGAGTCTGCAGCTGTGTATAGGAGATCTATACCAAGTCCCTCACAGTATTCTCCCAAAGCGTCACTCAGGTTTGGTCTGCTTGGGTCCAATTCCAAAACCTTTGGGGGCCCGGCCCATGCAATCCAGGAGTCCCGCAGAACACCCTTCAACAACTCAGCGTTTTCTTTCTGGAAAATGGGTGCCATTATGTGCAATGACGATGCATAGTCAACAATGCTGATGCACGGAACTCTCTGATTGGGTTTCCAGCCGGGGAGGTACTTGACGTCCATCCCAACTCGCGCGTTAAACTCCATGATTCTACTAGTCTTAGCAGGTAGGGATGCATGCGGAAGCTTATGGTTACTACACACGGTACATGTGAAGTTCTTTGCTACCTCCAGAGCTTCTTTAGAAGCCTTACTATGCTGCAAGATACGCACCAAATCCCTGTTGTGCGGATGGCCGAGGTTAACATGCAATTTCCTAACAGCTCGCAACACACTGGGAGTACCTTGGGTGTGATCAGCATGTATGACCTCCGCGTCTTCTTGCTCTGGTCCGGCCCTGTCTCCTTCGATCTCACCAATGAGACACTCTGCACCTTCGCACTCAGCCAAGTCGATAAAGTCGACCACACTCACATGTTGTTGTGCTTGGCAGGCTTTTAACATGGCTTTAACGAAAGATGGGGTGTACTCTGCTGCAAAGTCGCTCACGTTTTGTCCTGAGTTCAGTTTTCCTTCAACCAAACGATGTTTCTCACACCCCTGACACTGATGGAAATGAGTGGACTCCTTGATGGATGAAAGGATCCCCGTGGCTTTTCTGATGGGGATACCCGTGTCAGGACACTTCAACCCGTAGGCGCACATGTCAACTCTGCGGACTCCATACTTCCTACGAAGAGTGATCATGTCCCCATCGTCCCACACTTCGGAACCCCACGGATGCTCAAAGATAAAATCACCACCTCGACTTATCTGCTTGCGAATCTGTTGGAGAGCAAAGCGAACCTGATCTCTAGATGCTCGAATTAGCAAGGCTGTCTCGAAAGGAGACCGCTTGGTCCTATTCAGATGCTCCCACCCGCCTCGATGCGTGCATGGTGGACACGCCACCAAAAGTCGAGGGCGGACGCGATCGAGTTCCGCATCCACTTGCGACTTCACATTTGATTTGGAAAGGTCCCACCCCTGCTTAATATCATATGCTATCCCTTTTCCCCCCTGCCGAACAGCCTCAGTGGAAAAACGAGGAGGAGAAAATAACTCAGCAACCATGATACCAGCATCTTCGGTCTGGGAAACACGTTTCATCTGAGCAAGCAAACATCTACACTCTTTCTTTTTCAGTGTGATTTTTGTCTTCTGTTTTTGACTTGAGCCCTGCGCCTTCTGTTCAACCTTCTGCTGGTCGTCCTTTGTGGAACGAGCTGTGTCTCTGTCGTGTTGATTACCGCGAGGCTTCGGGGTAGCTGTTTCTCTCGCTGGATATGCTAGGACATCCACCAGCAGCTGACCAGCCTCATTGGTCTTGAGATCGGTCGTGCAGCCGAGAAGCTCCATCTGTCCTTGAGCGAAATCCAGTTTCACAGCCATCTTTTCCAACGTTGGTCGTCCAAGCAAAAGAGGAGCTGAGCCCGCAATAATGGCTGCGTCAATCAAGCCAAACTTGTTTGCGATCCCGACAGGTAAGCGGCATGCATGTTTTGCCACTTCCGTTGCTCCATTTCCGAACCTGAACACATTCTCAGACTCATAGTACTGCACAGAACCAAACCCTCGAGCCTTGATCATGGGTTCAAGCTGTTTGAGAGTTTCTTCTCCGATCAGGGTGCGTCCGCACCCACTGTCCAGTACTCCAAAGCCCGGTGAGGAAATCAGGCCAGCGCTAAACACCGTGGTCATCACGTGTCCCACAAAGGTTGGCTCCACTCCATATCCAGCCTCAGTGGTTGGCTCTGAGCTCTCAACATAGTTGGCTGCCATGGGAGGAGTGCTCGAAGAAGAAGCTTCTTTCGCACTTGGTGGCTGCCTGCACTCTCTGGCCCAGTGGCCTACTTTGCCACAGCGATTGCATTTGGTTCGCCTTTTCAGCTCTTCTACTTCCACTTTGAACTGCCTTTTGGAAGTGCCATGAGAACCGAATTGTCGACTCTTCTGCACCTTTGCTATCTCCTTGCGACGCTCTTTCCAAGTCACAGCGAGGGCTTCGGCTGCCTCTTGTTCAGTGAACACAGCCTCTTCTGTAGTGGTCTCGTGCTCATGTTCGGCGATGAAGGCCTCAACTTCTTGCAAGTAAGCATCGTCCGTGTAGGACATCTCTGGTGCAGCTTCGAACTCGTCAGTCATAACGTCGACTTGCAGAGCTCCAACTGGCTTTCTGCGACTGGCTGTTGCCTTGTACAAAGGAAAACATGACCTCATGGCAGCGGCCACGGCTTCGTAGTCTAAGCTGCCTTGTGTCTTGGCCTTCACTATGGCCTTCTGTTCCTCAGTCAAGCCTGCACAGTTCAACGTAATCCAGCCCTGAGCGGCAGCTGGAAAAGCCACTCCCGCTCGTCTCTCGCATCTGTCAAACACTTCTCGAGCTCGAGCCGTCCACTGCTTGATGGACTCGGCTTCGTTGGCTGACAGTGCAAACACTTCGCCCAGCGATTCTCCTAGCAAGTCATGAGCCTCTTTTTCTGGAAATCGTTTCTGCAACACTTCCCAGATCTTTTTGTCCCCACCTGACACTGCAAGGTCGTCTAAGGTCAGGTGCTCACAAGCATCCCAGGCACGACCATCTAGAAGCGTCAGGATCCATGGCCCCCTTTGTTCAGGTTTGATGTCTTTCAACGTAACCAGTTTGGCCTGGGCCCATGTCTTCCACTTTTTCAACGCCTTACCCGGGTCATCGCCCTCACCGTCAAAGCGGCGATGACCCTTGTCTTCACTCATGGCAGCGGGTGCACTACCTAGTGACACTCACTGCGAGCCCCTGGTGGGGCTCCGCTACCAATGTCGGTGCGGTCGCCCCACCAGGGGCATCGCAGCGGCGCCTTTCTACGCTCCAGCCTAAAGGTTCCGCTAGACATGGCGTCCGACCATGTGCTCATCACAATTCACATCTGTATAAAAATATGTACATATATACTTTGTGGTTACTCCTATTCTTAAATGCGCAAGCTCATGTGTTGTGGTGTGGTGCAGAAAGTTTGTCCTTATTTGTTTGCGCAAGTATAGTATAGCATAAGCACTCCATGTTCCCTGCATGGCGTATAAGCTGAAATGCGAGCTAAGAACTTGCGTAAGCAGCTTGTTGCGATGCTTGGCTTCAAATCGCTGCAAAGGTTTTGAACAACGCTTCCAAGACTTTGCAGGTAAACACCGCTGACCACCATGCACCACCTGAAGTCATTCGGAACCTGGAGCAAAGTGGGATACCCTCAAAGGTGGAGCAGTGATGTTGTCACTCAAGCACCAACTTCGACATGCCGCCTGAGGCTAACACAGTTCGAGTCTGGCCGCAGGACGTCATCATGCTGCCTCCGGCTTCAACTGCCTCAATTCCCAATGGCACTGGAGCTCCCTCACCGTCGACTCTGTGTCGGGGGCCACAGGTTGGCCAAAACGTGAACCCAGGTCCCTGCCGTCGAAGCGGCGATGAACTAAGCAGTGAACTCTGATCAACTACCTATGAAATCTACCCCCAAAAGCTGCGATATGTTGCTATATATAGACCTACAATACGATATATAATGATATATAGATACAATGAGATAAGTATTTCTATATAGATCACATCTTTCTTGGGTCGCTCCAGGCAGCAGTGCATCCGAATTATGGGTAGCGCCTCCGGCGCCACTGCAACTGGGAGTTCTCGAATGAAGGATTCGGCTGGGGGCCATTGCTGGGAGCCATTGCCATTGATTGTGTGGCTTTAGAGGGACTTCAATTCTTTAAAATCCTTTTTTGGTTTTGAGGTCAACGGCGTGCCCTTATGGCCCCCCCTTCGGCGAATCTGTGTTTTTGGACCTTCTACTGATGCAACGTGACCACTGTGACCACACAGTAGTCACAACGTTCTGTTTCCGGGGAGGGGGCTTGGGGTTGGGTGGGGGTTGATGATGCTCGGTTGGATCATCAACGTGAACTTTCAATTTTTGTTTCATGAACTTTATCTTAATTTTCATTTTCATCATCATCATCATCATCATCGTTTTATGGTTCCAAAGAGTCGCTGAATGCAGTGGGACACTTCTGCGTGTGTCACTCCAGTCTGCCCGCTAAAAAAAACGAAGCGAAGCGTGAGCTTTCCACGGAACTTGGAGCCCGAAAGTCATGAGCAACGCATTTTCTCTCACGAAACGCGCACTTTCATGAATCAAGGCCAAGGCAAATGTGCAAAACGCTCCAGGGGACCATAACGAGGGTAACAGTAACACCTGTTTCTTCCCTGCTTTAGCAAGTGGGCCTCCAAAAACTGTAGAACTTCCACTAGAAATATCGGGTCCCCAAACTTATGAACGCAGAACAATCATGGGTCCTTTCCAAGAGGGAGGTCAACCAGAGTGCAGGAAAACTTGTGTGATCTAAGCATGAACAGGCTCAGGTCGCATCCTGAAGCATCTTGCGACTTCACATGATATCACAAGCTGAAACTCAGAGCAATCCATATCGGATCAGACGGTGGTCAAGCGGTCAAGCACTTGTAGTTTGTTCCTGGGTTTTGCTCCACTTCCAGGCAATCTCTTTGCGATTCGTCGATCATCTCTGACTCCGAAGCACAGGCACGCTCATTTGTTTTTTCGATTCGGGACGTTGGAGTTGATTTGAGATGGCAGTTCGCAACAGAATACCAGATGATATCATGCCATTGTGACGTCCCTCAAATTGCTCAGTTGCATCACTTGGAAGCCGTGGGGTTCCCTCCCAACATCTCCGTCCTGCCGCTTCGTTGCTTCCGGCGACTTTGGGACCGGTGATCGGACCCTGCGATCGGACGGGTCCCGGAGATGAAGACCGCTCGGTTGGGGCGGTACTTCTGCCAAGCCCATGGTCGACCGTACTAAGACTCCCCATGGTCGAACTCTGTCTCTTTCCCACCCGAATGAGGGGAGCAGTACACTGAGTACACCACCCCCCCCACACCCTAAGACTGTCCCGTCCACCAGATCTTCTGCTCGCAGGAGCCAGAGCCCGAGCCCAACCAGCTCACACGCCTTCCGAGCTTGAATCCTACGATGAGCTTTTTGGCAGGCCGATGGCAGTGCCGATGGCAGTGCCGATGGCACGGGATGGGATGCGCACCGTTGACACGGTGAGCCTTGAGGTTTCTAAGCGGACAGTGAGGTCGATCCAAAGGGCTGGGACATTGGGGATTGGTGGTCATAGTATCTCATCGTGGTCGATATGGGATGCATAATTGAATCGTTGGATCACATGTAGATCATACAGAACTCTGGTAAACTTTTCGGTTTTAACATGCAGGCTTATCATAAATCATAATTGTAAATAATTGTAAAACCCTTGCCGATCGAGGGCGACGCACCTCTTTTCCACAAGTCCAGCGGTGTCCAGCCCTGGGTTTTTAAATTCTGTTGGCTTTTTTGGCGGCCTTCTCTTCCACTGTTGAAGGGGCATATATGCTCACCAAGCTCCAACATCACGGCCCCCCGTTGCCCCCCCAAATCCCTTGAAATCCCTCTCCACAAGGACTTTTTTTCCTGCTTCATCTGGACTTTTACTGGTCGCCAGGAATGGAGGAAGAGTTGGCCCTTTTCCGGTCGCCACGTGCGTCGCCGCGGGCCCCCAAACCCACGAGCAGTCCAGTCCAGTCCTTACGGCGCATGCTGAGCGAGGAGCAGTTGTGGCTTTGAAAGCGATGTTTATCGCAGACGGGAGGGGTGGTGGTGATGAGAGAAGCTTCTACAAACATGCGTTCTGAGACAGGATGATTCTGGACTGATGTCAGATGGTGGTTTGGATTGTTGACTGATGTATCCCATAGTGTTCAGAAAGCTTTGGTGTGGTGCCAAAAATAGTTTGATACCGAGATGTACAGTGTGCAATTAATGTACCAAGTTAAAACCATCCATACGAGAGTTGATAAAAGTTGTAATTGCTTTTCCAGCTCTATGTGTTATCAGGGTGTCCGCACATCTTATACCAGATGCCCAGACGAAACAGGACTCGTCAACATAATATGGATGTTGCTTTAAAATTTTGGCCTGCAAGTTTTGGTTTGTTTTCCATCTACCAGGTGTGGTGGTTAGGGGACACTCTATTATTCTTGAGCTATAGTCGCATATAGTCGCTATATATGTATATGTAGTCTACACATGTATAGCTTATAGATTTGATAGACCGCTTGCTCTCATGCTAGATGCAGATATTTCTTGGACATGACAATTTGACATGGTCATAAAGGTTACAGTAACATCAAAGATCCAAAAGCATATTTGCTTGGTGAGTTCGCGATAATTTGCTGTTTGCAGTGGAGGATATTTGTTGAGCTGTTGGTCAGATAGGGCGGGCAAAAAAGGTATACGATTGGCTACGTGACAGACAGGTAAGAATGAAGACACATACATAGTTGATGGCGAGTAGAAGTGGGGGGAGGGTTTCAGTTTTTGTATGGGCATGGTTGTAGCACTTGTCACAGTGTTGCTTAGCTTGAGCTACATAATTGTCAGTCGGCTGGCTTGTAAGGAGCAACTCTTCCGTTTGTTGAATCTATTTTTTTTGTTTGAACAAGTGCCGAAGAAGTCGACCTGTCATTTCAAACAGGAATCATTCAGACATCGAACATGCATAATGAAAGTGACGTTGTTAATGAGATAGACTTAGGAAGCTTTTAGAGACCTTTTGTTTGTCAGATGATGAACAAAATCATGGTTCTTTTGAAACGTCAGTTTCCTGCACGTCATTTTCAGGCAAAATCTGACTGATTTGTCAGACATGGAAGATCCTCAAGTTTCGAAAGCGAACATTCCTGGTGCAGATCTAGCAGATCTAGGCGTTCTAGGCGTAGAACGCCCTGAAATTCCGTGCGGACGCCTTTGATTTGGCCGGGGGTTGGGGTTCTGTATCAATCTGGGCCTGAAAATTAGTCATGTCATACATAGATTAAACTGTTAGTCTTCTTATTTTTCCAGACATGTTTTGAAGGTTTCTTTGTGGTTCCTTTCCAGCCTTTTCTTTTTCGTTTTCCATGTGAGTTCTTGTTCCACCGTGGGTCCCGGTCGGGTCCCGGAGTCCCACGGTGGGGAGCGGCCGTGTCGTTCGGGGCAGAGAGCGGGACGGTTCTGCTTGGAGGGTGGTGATCCCAAAGCAATCGTTTTTTTGTTTTTAAATACATAAGCGGCAGATCAATCCCATGGCATATATTGTTACTGTATTATTTCTTATTTGTGAAGTTAGGGGTGTTTCTATGTTTTTTGATGTTTTTTGATTTTGTTTGTTGGTTGTTGTTCCCTACGAGGAGCCTGAGTACCTCCCGAACAATTATTTGTGAGGGCTGCAAGGGTGCCAAATGATACGGATGAACATCCTCGAACATCGATCGCGCTCGTCTTGCGGTCATGAAGAACTTAATTCCAAACTTTGCATGCGCATTCATGCTTGGCAACCAGCTGACGCAGTGCTTTACGAAACGAAAAAGACATTCTTCGCTTGGCATTGGACGTTCTTCGCGGATCGGATGTCCTTCATGGGCCCGGACATGCCTCGGATGTCCTTGGACATGGCCTTTGCGACTTCGATGTACCCAAGGTCTGGGCCGTTGGCGTTGTCCCATGTGAGGGCAGCTGCTGTTGGCCCATCAGAGCTTCATTTGCACTTCATGGTGCCGCGCCCCTTTGACAGCAGCTGTTTTCTTGGGAATGAACAAGCATCCGCTTGATGGTAGGTTCAAGAACAAACACTCCCTGACCATGGCATCGCTTGACATACTGTAGATCTTCCCAGGTGTCGTTTTGGCGTCTCGATGGTGAATGTTCCTGATAGTGTTTTTTTTCCCCATTTTCTTTTTGAGTGAATGTTTATTGTTTTGACAGATGCATAACAAATACGTTTTGTTTTTTCTACAGGTGTCCATGTTCTCAATTCGTTGGGTGCCCGTTTCCGAACCCTCAGGTTCTTGCGCGCATGTGGTCAGCGAGACCACCTTGAAGGACTTGAGCGCCAAGTCTGGATGCAACGTCTCTTGCCTTCCGTTGCATGCGCGCCGGGCTCCGATTTCTGCCAGACCTGCCGGACGTGTTTGTTTTTTAATGATTTGCAGGCTGGAATGGTTGATCTCGGCCTTCCGTTTTGGGTCCCGTTTCCGTGAAGTACCGTTTGCCTCGGTGCCGTCCACTCGGGCACCGTCCAGGTCTGGACGACCCCGCCGGACGATGCCCTCACCGTGGTGATCGTCGGGACGTGCAGCGTGGTGCCGAGATGGTGAAACCGGTCGGTGAAACCGGGTCGGTCTGACAACGAAAAAAATATGCTGAGATCAGCGAGTCTCTTTCAGGCCAATGTGCGACAGCTCAGAAGATGTTGGCGGACTTCCTGCAGAGAGATGCAAAGGAGCCAGAGTTATTAGGCACAGGTGGGTGCAGCGTGTTCCCTCTTTGTGCAAGCAGGCAGCGCAGGTTTCCTGATCTTGAAGAAAGAGGTACTGTCATTCTCATCGAAGCCTCTCTTCAAGAGCTCGGCTCTGAAGTACTGTCGTGACCCTTTCGGAGAAGTGGACAGGAGCCACCTCTCAACAGTTTCACCGTGGTGCTTTTCCTGTGCACAGAGGCGCGGGGTTTTCTTGGGTGCTTGTTGGTGGAATGCTCTTCCAACCTTGATTTGTATTGCGTCGTATCCCCAGAGCTTTATACTAAATCTTCAACTGCGCCCAAAGACTCACCTGGTAACTTTAAGAATCATTCAAACATGTGGCAAACAAGACTGACACATCGCGCTGAACACCGAAATTGGCCCATTGTGCTGAAGAAGCAGCGGAGCTGTTGAAGTGCAAAGTGCCCTATAAGCTTTGGGTTGAGGGAGAGACTAAAGGGAAGAAAGTGAGGTAGTGAGAGACTACTAGCGAGGTAAGCATAATCATTTTGGTTGAACTACATAGTATAGGACTCTCGCATACCCCTGTCGAAAACCTGATGAAGCTCCACTGTACCAGACGGAACTCCTTTAATCCCTTCCACCTATAAAACTCACCTGCCCCTTTTAAAATCCCCGTTTGTTATCACTATATGTTTTCCTGTTGGTCAACCCCATTTTTATATAACTTTTTTCAGCTGATTGTGTTGCAAGGCCGAACGTCCATGGCAGGAAAATATAAACGGATCAGCCTGGAAACATAGGCTTCGCACAGGATTTCATAAGCTGAATAGACACAGGATTCTATAACTAATTAATTGTGTCTTGGTTACAGGATTTTAGAATGTATGCCTGGACAAAGCAGTTCCTGGAGCCTTCCATTCCAGAGTGTGGGCTCAAACACGATGCTTCAGTGGTCACAAGAGTTATGATGTACGCTAAAGCTAGTTCTGATGACACAGCAAAACATAAAAAGTGCATAAACAATGCAAAAAAAACATGCAAAACCAATCCCGAAAAACATGCACAGAAAACGCAAAAACAAGTCACCAAAGGATGCCTTGGAATGCAAAAAAAGCAAACAAAATGCGAAAAACACCACGCATTTGTCCACTAAACACATGCAAAAACGGCACAAACAATGCAACAAACAATGCACCAAAAAGGCACAACAAATGCAACAAAAATGCACAAAAAATGCAAAACAAATGCGATCAAAAACGTTCTGGTCTTTGCCTTTGCATTTGTTTTGCTTTGTATTTGCGTTTGTTTGCGATCTTTTTTGCATTTTTTGTGCGTTTCCTTGAGAAGACAGAAAAAAGCGCAAAAAAAGCGCAAAAAATGCAAAACACATGCCAAAAAAATCGCACATAAGACGCACAAACATGGAAAAACATCGCACAAAAAAGGTGGTGTGTGAAATTTGGTTGTGCATGTGCATTTTTTGTGCGTTTTGTTCGCTTTTGCTTTGCTTTTTTTAACTGTTGTTTTGTGTTTTGTTTGTTTTTTGTTGCTTCCTTTTGCATTTTTTTCTTTTTGATATGCACTCTTTTTGACCAGCTGCATTTGTTGTATGTTTTTTTAGTGCATTGCTTTTGCATTTCCTGGTCATCATATGTGAGTGTGGTTTTGCATAGTTTTTGTGTGTTTTTTTTAATGAACCCTTGAGATTTCAGAGTTAGGCTGTAAGGTACATCATAACACAAGAGCTTGAGTGTCCGCGAGAAAAGAACACCTTTGACTGTCCTTAAGCTCAGGAAAATATAAGGACTCCTGGTTGGCATTCCTAGGGAATTCGTTGTCAGGTACCCATACATGATGAACCTAAGCCACTAGGAAAATATAAAAAAATGCGCTTCATGACGGAGACTCTCGCTACAGGATTTCATAAACATTTGGAAGTTGCATTCCCCCAGGGATTTTTACATCTAGGGGATGAGGGTCCCCGGGACAACCAAGGGGGATTTTTAAAGGAATATGCAGTGTCGTTTCTACTCTTCGGTGATTCTTCAACATTCTTTGCTTGTAAACTTTTCATCAGACTAACAACTAAAGATTTTGGGATGTTATGTCGCCGTGCCATGCGGTTTTGTGCGGCCTCGATGAAAAGTGTGTTTGTCTCGGTGTGACGCTAGTGAGGGGCACGATTGGTGGTGATTCTAGTGGGTGGGTACCTTAAAAAAGAATCCAACATGTTTAAGTAGACGTTTGTAGTTTAATAAGTTTAGTAGTGGCTTAAGAAGGCGATAGTTCAAAAAAAACAAAGGTCAACTGTATTTAGGGGGTCTCCGACATGATTCCTTGGTGCTGGCGATCAGAAGCTGCATGTAAGTGTCCATTACTCCGGATGCCTCTCGATTGGCAGGTGTTGCCAGCACCACGAAAGCTGCTTGAATTGCAGGAGTGTCTTGTCTCCAATCTACTGTGACCTGTAGATTCTAGAACTCCTGCTTTGTCGTATGAGTCTGAGCATTTATAGTAGGCATAACCAAGGCTTAGGTTGTCAGGGCAGTCAGTGTGACGTCCTGTGATGACTTGTGACCTTGGTGTGACGTCAGCCACATCTCGGGCTGCCGCAAGCAAGAAACACCACGACGAAGGCACACGGCACACGCCCAAATGTACGGAATTCTGGATAAGCCAGCCAGATAATAGAATGCTTGAGATTGGACTCGCCACTGTAGGCCAAACATGTCGATAGTCAAGACTGGTCATTGAAGAATTTGGCGAAACCGAACCTGCATGAGCACACTTTGCGCAATCGTTCACAGGCCAAGCTCGTCTTGTGATCACTCAGTATTTGACACATTTCTATATTGACTATAGGACTCCAGGACCATCGCTGCGACCTGCGCTCCTGGACTAGCCAACCCCAAACTGCACACCACAGGACTGGCAAACGAAGAGAAACTATTGCGCAGGGACCGAGCATGCGAAACTCAACAGGAAGGGTCCCAAGAATTTATTCTGCTGAGCAGTTGTAAATACAGACTCTTGACGACATGTTGATGTCCCACTGTTAGAGAGGTTGCCATGTCACATACCTTCAAGCGGATTCCCTACGTCAACCAATGGCGCGTATTCACTGCTGTAATGACACAATAGATGACGGCCTGGCTGCCACCTCTCAATCGCTCGCAGCGGGAGGCACCATAAAGGCCAATCTCAACAGCATGGTGTAAAGCTTTGTCTCCGGTGCAATGTATATATATATATATATGTGTATATAATATACACCCTGGAAGACTAACATGGAACCTCAAAAGCCCTGGTTGGTAGAGGAAAATAGTCTTCCATGGGACCATTGTCAGGGTCTATGCTAGTCTTCGGGAGTGTACCCAAATCTTGTTATGTCGATATTACGTTTTTGACACCTGATTATCTTAGGCAAACAGTTTGCTGCGATCCAGCCAATGCGACAAGCTGCGATCCAGTTCACCTCTGGCGAACGAACCCCTTAAAGACTGAGGCAATCTCGTGCAACACTTGAGCTCTTGCCCAATGAGCAGGAAGGAAGACGCAGCTTGGCAAAAACATGGTGCAGTTCTTTTGGCAGAGCGGATAGGGATGACGGGATGACGTTGCGGAAACAACATCGCAGGGACCTTCAGATCGCAGGGATCCCAAACGCATTTTCGACCTTGCGGCTCCTGGCACTCTTCGTTTCGCCCCGCACTCTTGGACAACGCAAGAAATGCTGCGACTCAGAGTCGGAGCGGTACTGTGGTGCGGCCAGTGGTGCGGCCTAGATGGCTGTTTACATCTGTTTAGTATTGGTTGGTTGATTGATAGGTTGATAAATAGAGGTGATATTCCCAAGTGAACAACCAACAGGTATATGGACTGATGTTAGATGTACAATATATATATATGGTACCAAATCATACCAAATCGACCCCCCAGCAAATCCTTCGAATCGTCGGGGGTGTGGTGGTCGGGTCGACGTCGGGGGAGTTCAGCCGATGTTCGGGGGAGTTCAGCCGCTGGAATTGGAGGAGGGATGGCCTATCATGGCCTAGGCCTAGGCATCAATCCTGCCACCAAGGACCGTGCATCATCACTGGAACCTTGGAAGCTGCCGCTGGGCCGGAAGGACCGTGCCATTTGGGGTTGAGCCAAGAAGGAGGGTTGACGGATTTGCTGAAAGCTATTGAAATGGTTGGCACTGACCATCTCTCAATGAATTTGTTGGGGATCAATCCACATCACTAAAGAATCACAGGCCTCGTGACTTGGAAGTCAAGCCCATCCATCTACAGCCACCATCATCATCACTAGAATCCAGAAAATCTGGCTTTCTGGCTCCCCGCAAAGCTCAGAGGCTCAGAGCTCCACACAGGGGGCCTTTTTTGCAGAGGGTCGACCTGCAGGAAAAGAGTCGACCGCAATGGATTTATGAGAAATTAGAAGACATTGAAAATAGGAAGGAACTAGTGAACTAGTGACGAAGATGGGCCTCCTTTATGTAAAAGACCAGTGAAAAGTTTGCAAAGAGCTCTGCGATGAAGAACAGAATCATTCTTGGTTGGAGAGTCTGCAGACGAGACCTCCGTGCGAACCTCAGGTTCTGGAGGCCCAGCGATTGATTGATGTGCCTCGGTGACCGGTGTGGAAGCAGAGATTCCAGAAACCACCCTGCAGAATCAGAAGGGAAACTGGTTGATTCATGTTGTTTCCAATGATTGAATGTCAACTCATTTTCAGACATTCATGGAACCATAGTCAGTTTTGGCGTAATCAATCCCCCACACCATTCTTGAAAGAACATGACCTCAACAATTGCCTTGTTATTTCCTCCAGAAGGAATAGGCTTCATCGTTTTTCAGACATTTAAACACTGCTTGTTTTTGTGTTTTCTTTATTTTGTTCAGCTCTTTCACGAGCTTGTGCATGCCCGAAGTAACGCAGAACCGCAGAAACACAAGCCAGATCGGTGAGTTGCTTAGCCTAAATGTTAAATCACTTACAGTATATACTTGCATAAAGTATGATTGTGGAGTTATGTGGGGTTGACTGTCAGTTGTCAGCGTGGAGGTATGGCTGTACATGGTGAATTGGCACCCATCGGTTTGCAGTGTTTGGGCGGATTGGCAGGGACAAGGTTCGTTTGAGTGTATCGGTCAACAAAGAAACCATTCATGTTTAAGCACAGGGAGCTATACGGCTATATACCAAGTGATCCAAGAACACCTCGTTTAAGAGCTTTGCTTTGCATAAGTCATAAGTATTGTTTGCCCTTCATATAGTCCTTGCGCCTTTGTTTCTGTACAATGATGTGAACAAACACGTCCCAGGAATCATGTTTGTGTTGGAAGATGTATGAAGATGTTCTTAGCACAGTTGGCATCTATATAATGACTCATTACAAGTGTTGGCCTTGTTGCCCCGAGACGTGGTGGGTGCCCAGCAACTGCTCAGAGGCCCCGTCTCCCCGTCTCCGCGTCTCCGCCCAGGCAGCTGCTTTGGAAGCTCCAGCCAAGCGACGGCGCGTGGAGGTCGAAGTCCAAATCGACTTTGGAGACGCTGCACATTCGTTGATGCTGGGTTTATAATGGTTTGCACCCAAGATCTTCAGCTGTTCAGATATTCCGGCTAGAGATACCTTAGGTTTGATGCAGTGCCTCTTAAATCTACCGGGGGATAATGTGATGGATAGGGCCCGAGCAGATGCTGAGAAGTTTCATTGAGATGGCCCCGAGTTTGCTTTCTGCGTGGGGTGACTGCCACAAAGGCGCTAGAAACTTTCGTCCACAGCTTTGTTTGACACAGGTTTTACTTTACATGCATGTAGTATAGCATAGGCCTGGGAAGATTTGACTTGTCATGAGTCACCAGGGTGATTGAGGGTGACGGTCATTGCAGACAAGTAGCCCTTTGGTTGCTTTGCACCAGAAACATGTACCCCTGGATGATGCTGACAGGTGGTTCTTTACCGCTTTTCAAGTCTGTTTATACTTTATACATCTGTTATGTGCGTGAGCATTTGATCTTGATTGCTTGGCCACCCCCGGAGATGTTTTCATCTGTTTGTTTGTAAGCCATGTAATTGTGGAGATTGCTCGTGCCAACTGCCAACTGTTGCAGGATCTCTTCCTTCAACACAAACAGTGAGGTTTCCAGTGTGGTCAACTGAAATTGTACCTGACAACAGCACTCACCAGCTGACTGATACGGCAAAATACATGAAAGCAGAGGTGTTTGCAAACCCTTGTTTGTCATTTTGAGCCGGCCGACTGATGAAGTAGAACCGATGCCACATCCGCCAGGGAACTACGCTGCTGTCGTGAAATGGTGCATCCGGTGGCTGCCGTCGTGAAAAAGAGTGTCGTGCCGCCACAGAGCGAAGAATGTTTGGCATAGTGCGATGACCTGGTACAAGTGAAAGAGGATAAAGAGGAATATATGGAATATCTGGAAGGAGTCTTATGTGATACCTTATATACAGTATCTAAGAATGGAATCATATGGAAATCTATTTCATTTGTGAGTGGATACGGCACGGCAAACAGTTCATACTTCTCTACCACAAGTGCCGGGGTGCATCGCCACGGGGTCTACGGTCAAGCCGCCGGTGAACGAGTACTCAGGCGACGAAGGTGTCGCGGGATTCGAAGGTGACTGCAGATGATTTGCAGATCTGGAGGAATGACCATGGAATTATGTGTAGATATTCATAGATATTCAATGTTGCTGTGTCCCTGTTGATAGTCATTGACAAGCATCCTACCTCTGGAGAAACAGTAAGAAACACGACAAACAAACACCCTGTCGAACAGCCGAGATTCCGTTTGCATTTTCTGTACACTGTACTTGGCTCTGCTTGCAGGTACGCAACCCGCAAATCACTCGCAATGGCGGATTGCAGTGACGGCAGCGCATTGAAAAAGTGACACGTGCAGTGAAAGTTACTTGGGTTAGCCTAAACATATCTACAAATGCCTAACGATGCCTAGACACAGAATGGATGACATCTTCTAGACACATGTGGTTTGGAGGCAGCTTGATCTGGAGCACGTATATGGAAGCACGACGGAAGCCAAGTCCTTGTTCCTTCACAGAATTTGATGACCCCGGAATTGCTCGGTCGCTCTGAAGTGTGGAGGCTACCCCGTGAGAGTCTGGAGGCATTTGAAAAGCAGTGGGTTTTGGTTCGGTGTGGCATGCACTTATGCCTACATGCTTGACCAGCTTGACTTTGAGAGACTTTCTCGATTTAAATAACGGTATGCACACTGTAGTTGATGTGACTCTCCAGCACACGGTCACATTTCTTTTCCTGAACACAGAAACCTCAGTGGTTGGGTGAGAAGAACAGACATCACTACATCATTCTTTCGAAGTAAGAAGTACGGAGAGTACGGCCTTTGACATAAATGATCTATGATCTCATTTGCAATGGCCTCCAACCCTACTATAGCTTCTTCTTTTGGATTCAATCATTCAATGAGGATCTATTTCTTTCTCCACCTGTTGGAGGGGAAAAGCCCGTTTGTTCTACCCTTGGCAAACTGGGCTGGGCCTGAACCGTCATCGGGGCCTGAACCACCGTGGCATGAGGCGCCCATGAGGCCCATGAGGTGGTGGCAATTGTTATCAATTTATATCATACTTATTTATTTATTTATATATTTGCAGTACCTACTATTTAGCTTATAAACATATTTTTTTTGTCTTCTTTTTCCAGTTCTCAGGTCAACCGAAGTTTGAAATGCACAAACCACTGGGCTGGCGGTCCACTTCCCCGCGCGTCCCACAGACCCTGGTCGGTCTCGCTGGCCTCTCAGCCGATGGTCGGCTCTGGACGGCGCAGGACGGAGGAAAGACGCTCTTGTGCCCCAAATGGACCATGGACATCCATGGAGAAAATAAAAGAAATGGACGCTACGATCGGGGCTCCTGGCCTTACTACTAGGAGCAATGTTCGCTACTAGGAGCAATGGCCAAAATAAAAGAAATATGATGAAATCAAATGTCTCTCCCTTTCCGAAGTCCAACCCATCGGGAGCAGCGATTTGGTCTTTGATCCACCACATGGTTTTTGATTGTTTGAAGCGGCTTCCGACCAGGCGCAACAGCGATTTGATTCCTACTGTGAACAATGTCACGAACTAGCCACAACAAGTACAGTGCAAACCAAATCAGGGTGGCCGGCCTGGCTTTCAAAAATACTGAGTTGGCTCTGAGGAAGTAGGCCTCACCAGAAAGTAGGCCTCACCGGGGATCTGCACGGATCCAAGCAATGGGCACAGCGGAGAAGACGACACTGCTCCAGAACATTAAGCGCAGACAAGAGGACAAGGCCGAACGACTGTCGCGGGGAGGAGTTCTAGAAAAGTCCACCAAAAAGCACAGCAGACAGAGGTTTTCAACCTGGATGGTCTATGTTTTTCACGCGGACTTGCTGCAAAACCTGCCTACGTCATTGGTGGGAACGGCTGAAATGTTTCTAATGTATACAGTGGACGAACCGGATGCGGATGCGGCAAATCCTCATTGTAGGTTGGAAGACAGGGCAGCAAAGTAAATCAAAGTACTGTACACCATGAAAAGATATGACAAACCCGGACAACCCCCTTAGATTGAACAATCTTCATCTTCCCTTTTTGCATGATTCTGCACTCTTGTGTGAACCGGGGGAGTCTGGGTGGAACAGCGGACTGTTTCAAGAAACGATTCCATCTACTCCATGGAACTGACATAGCAAGAGCACAGGAAGCGTTTGGGGCTATCAATCTCGGCTCTATAGCTTGCTACCTTCATCCATGGTAACTTGATGATAGTAACTGGTAGATGTATACTTACTTGACTTCTTGACAGACCTTTGCTACCTCGGTGTTTGTTCAGTCCAAACATCGATTTCGGCTTCACAGCGTGAACGTGCAGGGCGGAACCTTGGTGAAGCGCCGGCTACTCGGAGGCGGAACCGAGCGAGCGGCAGCGAGGTTTCGGTTTCGCCAGCATGGGTTTTCGGAGGTGATTGAACATCGCCAAACGGGGGGGTTGCTGGCAATTCGGCTTTTTGGTTGAAATTCATGGTGATTTTTTTCCATACCAATAGGTACTGTAGTCTTGCATAATCTTGCATAGATATGCATAGATGTTTTTTCCATGTAACACCCTTTGATCTCTCCTTTAATCCTTGCTGCCAAACATTCTACAACACTCATATGATATGTAGATTCCTGGATGGGTTGTGGGTCTGGGCTCTGTGGGGCTCTGAGCAACCTGGGGGACTGGATTTGTGTGGAGCCCCAGCAACCAGTGCGAAGTAGCTAGACATACCAACCATACCACCCTCCAATCTCTGAGGAAGCCTCGTCGGAGTTGTTCATCTCAAAAAAGCTTTTACTAGAATGAAACCATAGATATACTGTAGCTGGTTATATCTGTCAGATATAAGTTGTTCCAACCACGCCTTTGGTGTTCGACATCTCAGAGAGTCACACTGGGTGTCCCAGAGTCATGTCGGCCTGAATTGGACTGCTGACTATGCTAGGTCTGAATTGGACCCTCCATGCCGTCCTGGTCCGCCCCGGTGCTCCGAACCAATTCGTAGGCCCAGCTCGAGAGCTTCCACGCTGGAGTCTCAGCGGGGCTGATGCCGGAGTCCAATGCCGTGAAGCACTGAAGGGAGGGAGGACGTGATGCTGAAAGACACGCATAGCGCACGCTGCCAGTCATTCAATGAACAGAAAATCCGAGAATTCATGTTCCACCATTGCCCGTGCTTCATGGTAAGTTGGACGCTTCATGGCAAATGTTCCATTCACCGTGGGTCCGGACACCAACCAGGTAATCACTGTATCTAATATTGATCCAAATAGCTGAAACAAGTTTTACAATTCTTGCACGTGGACATCTTTAACGTTAAATCATTTAAAACCTGCCCACTTACCACCTGCCCAGGCGCGCCAGAGGCCACCACAGCTGCCGCCGCCTTGGCCGCTGCCCAGGCCACGGCCGCACTGCGCCAGGACGCGCCGCGGCGGGAGGCACCGCAGAGGCTGAGCTCGGTGGAGGAGCAGAGACTGAGACGAGTGGAGAGGGTGGATGAGGAAAACTGGGTGAAGACATAGACACACACACACTTCGAACTTCGAACTTGGGTTTTCAGTTAGACTCAATTGCCACGATGGGAAGGAAGGTGATGGAACGGCATGGTGAAAGGTCCGAAAACTTGAAGGTGTTTCAACATTGAAAGTTGTCATCTGCAGAAACACGCGAGCGACTGCGGTGAAAGGCTGCAAAAAACGCGTGGCTGCTGCAAGTGGCTGAAAGGAAAAAGGTTTAGGGGTAGGTATCATGAACCACCATGGAATCAAAAAAGGAAAATTGGACAGCGTGGGCAACAGTTTCTTAGCAGGTACACGGTCAGACGTCTCTGACCGCATCCACCGAGCAAGCATAGCTTTGTTAGCCAGCGTTTGCTTGTCGGCCGCTGGCCCCCTGCCTTTTCAATGGAAAAAGAACGCTTTCGGTGGTAGTGGAAAGGTGAAAAGGTAGAAACCCTTAGAACCAGGGTGTGACACACACAACACGCCGTGATCGGCGCACAAAGCGAGCGGTGGAAAACGCAAGTCTTTTTCTCAAAAACAAGCCTGAATGCATCTGCAGTGAAGTGAGGTGAACTCGTGGCATGCAATGCAATTCCTGCTATCCGTGGAGTGGTGTAGAGCATGTGGAAGCTGATCAAACGGCTGCGGATTAAAATTTGTAAAAATTGGGAAAAAA